GGAAGCTACTTTAGCAATCCAGACAGGGAGCTGGTGATACACTAGATTTAAGGTGACACAGACAACAAAGAAGAAAAAGGCAAATAATTTCAAAGAAACAACTGAATAATCTGGCAAGAGAATATATAAAAATGACTCCAGATAATATCTCTAGTCCTTAAAACTGGGAAAATTTAGGGGTGCCCAGGTGGCTCGGTCGGTTAAGTGTCTGACTCTTAATTTCGGCTCAGGTCTTGATCTCAGGGTTGTGAGTTCAAGTCCCTCACTGGGCTCCACACTGGGAATGAAGTCTACTAAAAACAAAACAAAACAAAACTGGGAAAAGTTAACTAAAGTTTACTAAAAAAATAATCTGTTTTCCTGGGTTTTTTTCCTTTTAAGATTTTATTTATTAAGATAGAGAGAGAGAGCACACATGTGCGCACACACAAGCGGGGGGGGTGGAGGGAGAGGGAGAAGCAGACTCCCCACTGAGCAGGGAGCCCGACATGAGGCTCAATCCCAGTACCCTGGGATCATGATCTGAGCTGAAGACAGCTGCTGAACTGAGTCACCCAGGTGTCCCTGTTTTCCAGTTTTTAATATAGAGTTTTTTAATGTTTTAGATTCAGAATGAAAAGCTCAATATGGCAAATCAGTAATATTTAAGAAAAAATAGTTAAGTACAAGTTCAAGTAAAAACAGATAAAACATTAATTTCCCCACTTTCTAGGCATTATAGTTATTATTAAATTGTAAAGATCCTCTTTCCTATTGAGAAAGTTCTTTGTAGACAAATGAGGAACAGAACAGAAAGGTTTAAACAACTGAAATAGTCTTCCTACCTAAGAGTTACAAATTAGTTTGAAAATAAAGAAATAAGCATAGAATACTCAGCTTAAAAAAAAAAGGAGGAAGAGGAAAGAAAGAAAAGAAAAAGAAAGCAGAAGTAGCAATATTTTGGGGTGCCTGGGTGGCTCAGTCGTTAAGCGTCTGCCTTCACCTCGGGTCATGATCCCAGGTCCTGGGATCGAGCCCCGCAGCGTGCTCCCTGCTCTTCGGGAAGCCTGCTTGTGTTCCCTCTCTCACTGTGTCTCTCTTTGTCAAATAAATAAATAAAAATCTTAAAAAAAAAAAAAAAAGGTAGCAATTATTTATAGCAGGATTCTAAGTCAAAAGTTATGAAATGAGATTAAAAGGGATACTGAGTAATGACAAAATACTCTCAGAAAATATAATAGCCATAAACCTTTATATAGATAAGTAATATAGCAATAAAATACATAAAGCAAAAATTCCTAGAGATACTAGGAGACCTTGATCAAACCAAAACTATAACCTTAAGATTCAACATACCTCTTTGACAGCTCAAGTAGATATAAACAAAAATACAGAGGATCTGAATAATAAAACCAAATCTCTATATATGTAATGGTATACACGGCAAGTCATTCAATCTTTCTATACCTCAGATTCCTTCCTTATAAAATGTTGGTAAGTAATACCTACCTCATAAAGTTGTGGTGAGGATTAAATGAGATAGTTTCTGTAAAGAGTACTTGCTATATATGAGACCCTCAATAAAGGTCTTGTTATTTAACTCAACCTTTCACATTCTTTCCAGTTCAAGGAATGTAATAAATTAATCATGCTCTTGACTGTTAAAAAAAAATTTCCAAGATGCTTTTGCCCATAATCCGATAAACTAGAAATACACAACAAAGAGTTAACCACGTATGAACTAAGAAGCTTTTTATAATAAACACTGAAATAAAAACCAAAGTTATAATTACCTAGAAATTAACAAAATGGAGAATATCTGACAACAAAAAAAATGAGATACAGCAAAAGGAGCATTCAGAAGAAAATGTATAGCTTTAAATGACTTTATAATTTAAAAACTTAAGTATTCAATTTAAAAAACCATAAGTAAAATAAACTGAAAGAAAACGGGAGGTGGGAATAAAGATAAAGCCTTGCTTAATTAACTATTTATTCCAAAGAATAAATAAGGCCAAATATCTGGTCTCTTGAAAATTCCAACAGAAATAGATTCAGGAGTAAAAACACCCTTAAACTTATAATTAAAAGAGGATATCTAAATCTCAGTATTTCTCAGTATTATCTCTCTCCTAATGACTTAATAGTTGTGGGCAATACAGAAGGAATTGGAGGGGGCGGGGAACAGACAAACCTTAAGACTGGAGAGAATATAAAAGGATTTTTAACTCCGTATTTCCTTCACATTTGTATGAATCAAAAGTCAAAAGTGAAAGAAGCATTTTCTAAAATAACAGTATTAAGTTAGAACTTCTATAAATTCTTTATTTACCTTTATTTTACTAAGAAGATACTACCGACCAACAGTCAACTGTTCACGTTAAGTGAGTTGTTTTTCTAAGTAGTGGTTCCCTTCTCTTGTAACCAAAGACATATGGGGGACACCATGAGGGCAAAACAAATTTCCTGTGCCACCTACACTGGCATTTAGAGGATTTCTCTAATAAACTGGCCCACAGTTTACTCTAGAGTTAAAAACAACTATTTAGGGATTTAAAAACATATTTAAAAGATTTAAAACTGATTTTACATTCCTGAAGGATTTAAAATCCTTTTAAGATTTAAAACCTAAACTGTACGAAAAGTTTGTTGATGGTCCATGGGCAGAGAGGCCTAGATAGCCTGCTTTGCATTCTTTCTGGTTGTACGCCCTTATCATTTCAAGGACTACTTACAGTTTTTATTGGTCTCCACAATTTGAGAGGAAGCAAGGACCAGCAACCCATGCACCCTCTCCTCTATTAAACTTATGCATGAAAAAATTGTTCCTTACTCAGCTTAACACCCTAAATTGGCTTCCAAATCATCCACATATAAAATCTAAGTAACCTTTATTCAAGAATTAACTTTTAGGGAAAAAAAATAACTTTTAGTGAAGTATTTGAAGATGAAGTATTTGAAGACTCTCAAGTCAACATATAAGCCATTAAAAAATAAAAAATAAAAACGAAAACAAAGTTGAATAATAAAGGGTCAAAACGAGGAATTTTTTTAGGTGTACTCTTCATTTTCTAATCTAAGCAGCACTCCAACCAGTGTTATGGATATAATTATTCATTTCTTCCATAATAAAGTAAAAAATGTTTTAGAAGAAAAAGAAATACTTAAAACTTAAGTTTCAGGGGCACCTGGATGGCGCAGTCGGTTAAGTGCGGGACCCTTGGTTTCTGCTCAGGTCTGATCTCTAAAGGGTTATGAGATCAAGCCCCAAGTCTCCCAGCGCTCTGCGCCTAGTCAATTGGGACTCTTCTTCTCCCTTTGCTCCTTCCCACTGCGAGCGCACGCGCTCTCATGCTCTCTCTCTCTCAAATAAACAAATCTTTAAAAATGAAATTTCTGGTGTTTTTAGGTATTGCTAAGATTAAATAACTTCTCTCCAGATAAAGATTCCAAAACAAACCTTTCACTCCCACTTGAGCAAAATATAAATGCAGACTATTGGGAATGCACCTTATCAAGTGGGTACTTTTCCTGAATAGTCAAAATTATCTTTGAAAAATCACTCACACAGTACAACTTGAGTCTCTGAAAGCTCAAAAGTTAATATCTTCTTTTTGCATTTAGGCTATGGGCACCCTGCTCTGAGTCATGGAGGTCATGTAAGTTAATACAGTTAAATCAGGGTGGATGGGGGCAGGAGAGACAATAGAAAAGATTTCTTGCCTCCACCTCCATACAGTATAATTCCATTATGCATATATAGTAGGACTTCACTGTGTCCAACTGATTCTTAGTCCTTAAATAAAACAATATAATATGGAATGTTTAGTGGCTCAAGATCTGCAGTTTTTGATTCAATTTTTAAATTCAATTTTAATAACCACTCTTAAGGGAAAAAATACAAATACACAATAAGAACTGTTAAGTGTTAAGTGCAATGGAAAACCCAGTGTTTTGCAATTTTTATGAAATGTGAATCTCAAAAGTTGCCACAGCCTTAACTTTATACCCAAAAGGGTACAATCTGAAAACAGTGCATGAATTAACTGCATTTATCTTATTATACGGATCAATACATTTGACACTTACTTCAGCACTTATTTATCATCCACTGTGCATTAAAAATATTAACTCAGGATTCCATTCCAGAAGTATTTATTTCTGCTCAGCTGAAAAATGGAGTTGAAAACAAAATTTATATATAATTTAGCTGGGGCCACAACAGCCACATATAAAAAGAACTAACATTAATAAAACACCAGAAAACCTAGAAATTAATTTAGTGTAAAGAAAGGATCTGTTTTTATTACTGCACATCTCCTACTGAAAGTGTTCAATAAATTCTACCATCTTAGAACACGAGTTTTAAACTAAGTATAATGATCCAGCTCTCTCTCTCTCTAAAGGGAAAATACTAAAAGTGAAATGCTACGATCAATTGACAAAGCAAACTGAGAACTGACTTGGAAAGTGAAAACGGTGATGGATTAGTGATGAACCCAAAAAGGTGTTTAGCCACTTACCCAGAGATTTTATTAAATGAGAATGGATCGCCGGTTTCCACAGGTCGTTCTACTGCCAGTAAGAAGATAGTCGTGAACTTGGGTCCCTTTTTTCACTAGTCAACAGTCACCCTCACCTACACGCGGAGTACATATTTGGCACTCAGCAAGTTTTTTTGTTTGTTTTTCCAACAAATCTTGATTGAATGAAAACCTACCTCACTCATATTGGTACCAACCCCGGAGTTAGAGTCCCACAAATTACCTCCAAAAAGCCTTACGAATAACCCAAAGAGGTGAGAAAGTAGAGACGAAAGCTTTGTGGATTTCTGTTAAGACTAGGAGCCATCGAGGGCCAACGGGGCCTACACCAATCCGACTTCCCAAAGAAAGCTCTGGAGACTGTACTGCGGCTACTCGGCTGAGTACTCACAAGGAGGTACCCGATAGGCCGCAGATCCATTGCCTCCCACCCGGGGGCGCTGAATGATCTGGGGGTATACCCACTAAAGTTAGTACCTGCGAAGCTGCGACACAGAGAGTGGCTCGGGGCTCTCATTACGGAGGCCGGGGCCTGGGGCCGGCCAGCTGCGCCTCCTGGCTGAGGACTCTACGCTCCGGAGCTGCAGTGACAGCAGGGGTCGCAGATAGATGCCTCACGCCTCAGGAGGCTCGTGGCTCATGGGCCCCGGGTGTTTCACTCCCAGGACTGCGCAAGTTGTCGCACTCACGTTGACTCGCGCTCTTCAAGAGTGCCCTCACAGCTCAAGCGATCACTCTTGCCTTAAGCCCAGCGGCCGGTCGACTCCCGGCGCCGCCATCCTTAGTGTTTGTTTTCATCCGCTCGGATGAAGGCGGGGCGGGGGGGGCGGGGGAGGAAGAGGGCTATGGGGGAAATACAGCTGCCTAACCTCATCCGCACTTTCGCTACAGGATGGACGCCCTATTTCATCTCTTTCCTCTTAATTACCATAAAAGTTGATTTCCTTTCCATGTAAATCTTTCTCACCAATTTTTCCAAGTGTCTCAGAAGGAAAGAAGGGCGTAAAGACGGGGGTTTTTGAAAGGGTGAGAACGTTTGGGCCAAGTGTGGAATGTGCGCCGCCCAACCGCACGCCGACGCGGAAGCGGCAGTTGAGAACTCGGCGTGGAGAGGCCGCTGACGCGAAGAGGCGGTGCCTATGGTGAGCGCCGTGGCGGCTAGTGCGCGGCCGCGGCTTCCAGTGGAGGGCCGGACTCGGCTGGGTGGGTGGGGAGTGCTGCTGGTAACGCGGCAGCCGCGGAGAGGTGGGTGACGGTCCTTGGCTGACTTTGAGTGGCCGGCGCAATCAGATTTCTAAGTATCATTTCTAAGGCACCTTTTTAAAAGTGACGGAGTCGCATCCCAGCTCTGGCTCACCCAGTCTCTTTTGCGCCTTTCTTCTAACCTGTTTGGGCTTCCTTGCTTCCTGGCCCTCAGCCTCACGATTTGGATTTCGTGGGGAGAAGGGATAGCCGGTTGTTAGAGCACACGATCTGTGTCTACCAGGCTGGGTTGCGGGCAGTTTTTTGCCTCCATCTCTCTTGCTAGACTGGTTTGAGCACCCCTCACGTCCCTCTCATACTTACCAGGTGGAGCCAGAAGGCTTGGGTAATGAAACCCGGCGTGACTAATCCCTGACCTGAGTAGTTAAGACATGTCAGCCAGTTCGTAGCCTGTGTAGTTAGGAGCAGGCTTCTTTTGCCTTATGGATAATTACGCTATCGCCTCCATTAATCTTTTTTTTTTTAAGATTTTATTTTTAAGTAATCTCTACATCCAACATGGGGCTGGAACTTAAAACCCGGAGATCAAGAGACCCTCCCTCTAGGGACTAAGCCAGTCAGGTGCCCCTCCTCCATTAATCTTTTGCTCTTCCCCGGTTCAAATGCCAAACATTAAGTGAGCCACAAAAATCATCTCCCATTTTCTTTTCCTTCCTTCCTTCCTTCCTTTCTTCCTTCCTTCCTTCCTTCCTTCTTTCCTTCCTTCCATTCTTTTTACAAACTCTAGTGTGGAGGGAGCTGCTCTGCTACATACAAAACAGCTCCCATTATCTTTCAAACCACAGCAGGCCTATGTGCAGCCATGAGTTAGTGGAGAAAAACCCAGAGTTACAGGTATAGCACCTTTTGCTTGGACAGATTGGAAGTTTGAGAAAAAGAGTTGTTGTACCCTTTGGATCACTTTAAAGTCTTTGGTCTGTTTCTAATGCTTTTTTCTTTTAACCTTTACAGAGAGAAGATTATAAATGCCAGAGCCATTTAACTGATGGTTAGCTGCTGAATTCTGACACTTCTTTAAATACGTTCTTGCACCAACATCTTCACTGGGAGGAATTCAGGAAAAGTAGCAGAGGGAAGGAGAGATCACATTTACATGTACCATGGCTATACCAATAACAGTGCTTGACTGTGATCTCTTACTCTATGGCCGAGGTCACCGGACATTGGACCGCTTTAAGCTGGATGACGTGACTGATGAATACTTGATGTCCATGTATGGGTTTCCTCGACAGTTCATTTATTACTTGGTGGAGCTCTTGGGGGCGAGTCTTTCTAGACCTACTCAGAGATCCAGAGCTATTAGCCCAGAGACACAGATCCTTGCAGCATTGGGCTTCTATACTTCAGGTTCCTTCCAGACTCGGATGGGAGATGCTATTGGAATCAGTCAGGCATCTATGAGTCGCTGTGTTGCCAATGTCACTGAAGCACTTGTGGAAAGAGCCACACAGTTCATTCGCTTTCCAGCTGATGAAGCCTCCGTGCAGGCTTTAAAGGATGAATTCTATGGGTTGGCAGGGATGCCAGGGGTGATAGGGGTGGTTGACTGTATCCATGTGGCAATCAAGGCACCAAATGCTGAAGACCTCTCCTATGTGAACCGCAAAGGCCTTCATTCTTTAAACTGCCTGATGGTGTGTGACATCAGAGGGGCACTAATGACTGTGGAGACCAACTGGCCAGGCAGCCTACAGGACTATGCTGTGCTGCAGCAGTCTTCCCTCAATAGTCATTTTGAAGCTGGAATGCACAAAGATAGCTGGCTGCTTGGTAAGTTTGCAAGTGCACATGCTTCATTTTGTAGCCATAGAAAAATGATGTAGCAGAACAGAATGAAACTTGAGAATCTATAGACCTGAGTCTCAGTCCTGTTCTTGTTTTAATGAGACCTCAGGTGAGAACTCTCTGAGCCTTAATTAAAAAAAAAAAATGAACACTTAGAAGACATTTTATTAAAGTTTAAAAACATAGTATTTGATCCAGAGCCTCACTTCAAAGGATTTATCTTGAGGCATATGTTCATAAATCTGAACATTGGTGATGTGAAATAAAATTATGCTGCAGCAGTGTTTGGTAGTTGGAAACAAAAGCAACAACCCTACAAAAACATTCCCCTTAAATGCAGCTGAAATTCTTCATCAGGACAGATCTGGTTAAATATAATGCATCCCATACAACTGAGCCTTAATTTTTATCATGTGTAAAATGTTAAAAATAATGCCAACAGCAGTAATACCTGTTGTTAGGATTAGGTGATGTATATGAGAGTTCACTATAAAGTATTGTACAAATGTAAGATTTTTGTCATTGCTTATTGTCACTATGATACCTATATGAAAATGATAGCAGGGGCGCCTGGGTAGCTCGGTTGGTTAAGCGTCTGCCTTGGGCTCAGGTCATGATCCTGGGGTCCTGGGATTGAGCCCTAAATCGAGTTGGACTCCCTACTCAGCAGGGAGTCTGCTTCTCCCTCTCCCCCCCCACCCCCCCACCACTTGTGCTCTCTGTCTCTAACTTGCTCTCTCTCAAATAAATAAAATCTTAAAAAAAAAAAAGAGGGTGCCTGGGTGGCTCAGATGTTAAGCGTCTGCCTTCGGCTCAGGTCATGATCCCAGGGTCCTGGGATCGAGTCCTGCATCCGGATCCCTGCTCCTTGGGAGCCTGCTTCTCCCTCTGCCTCTCTCTCTCTGTCTCATGAATAAATAAATAAAATCTTAAAAAAAAAAAGAACGATAGCAGACAGTGCATTTCCACAGTTCTTGTGGGAGCTCACTTCACAGATCTACCCAAGTGCCATTGGGAAGCCTGACTTAGTGATGTAAGTAGGACAAGAATCCATTCAAAATTGAGCAGTGCAAACTGGGGTGACAGCATAGCTGGGAGAAATATAGTTGGGTAACAGTGATAATATCCTTGAGCCTGGCAGCTTAGTTCTGTGTGTGTGTTTGTTTAAAGCAGACAATGTTATGTAAGCAACAGAACAAAGGTTATCTTCTATACAATATGTTATGTGAGAGATGAAAAGAAACATGAAGGATTGGAAGACCTCTCTTTCAAAACCACTGATCATATCTGCACTGCATGTGCTCATAACTATTTAACGTGCAATAGATACTCAGGAATTATTTCTCTTTAATATTCTTTATTTCTCCCCTGTTCCAACTGGGAAGAGACTGCTGTCACAGTGATTGGTTTAGAGCTGCCGGGGTACTGCGTTTGATGTCTTGTTACTCAGTGATTTTCTTGAATTGTTGCTTCTACATTCTGTCATCAGTACCCCCTTCTCTTTATCCTACTGGACTTTTTTCTTAATCCTACCTTGTGCGGGAGTTCCTGGGTAGCTCAGTCAGTTAGGTGTCTGCCTTTAGCTCGGGTCCCAATTCCAGGATCTTAAAAAAAAAAAAAAAAAAATCCAGGGGTGCTGAGTGGCTCAGTTGTTAAGCATCTGCCTTCGGCTCAGGTCATGATCTTAGGGTCCTGGATCAAGCCCCACATCGGGCTCCCTGCTCCGCGGGAAGCCTGCTTCTCCCTCTCCCCCTTCCCTGCTTGTGTTCCCTCTCTCGCTGTGTCTCTCTCTGTCAAATAAAATAAAATCTTTTTTTTAAAAATCCTACCTTGTGCCTTTTTTGAATTTCAAATTTCATTTTTTTTAAGATTATTTATTTATTTATTTGAGAGAGAGAGTGCTCAAGGAGAAAGAGAGAGCACAAGCAAGAGCACAGGGAGGAGCAGAGGGAGAGGGAGAAGCAGACTCCCTGCTGAGCAGGGCTCCATCCCAGGCCCCACCCACCCATCATGACCGGAGCAGAAACCAAGAGTCAGACACTTAACCAACTGAGCCACCAAGCTCGTTTCTTATGAAATGACTTTGGTACCTTACTGTAAAGCCAGCCAAAGTACGCTGAGCACTTAGAACTTGTCAGGCAATTTTGTAAGCAGTTTGCATTGGATTATCTCACTTAATTGTTATAAAAACTCTTAAAAAGTTAAATACTAATATCAACATTTTTATGGAGGAGAAATTAAGGCACAGAATATCTAAGTCACTTGTGGTTAACTTTTATTAATTTTTTTAAAGATTATTTATTTATTTGTTTGCCGGAGAGTGCACAGGTAGGCAGAGCGGCAGGCAGAGGAAGAAGGGGAAGCACGCTCCCCACCAACCAGAGAGCCTGATGCAGGGCTCCATCCCAGGACCCTGGGATCATGACCTAAGCCAAACGCAGATGCTTAACCAACTGAGCCACCCAGGAGCCCCTCTGGTTAACTTTTAAAACTAGGGCACATGAAGAATTAACTCTATTTGGCAAATAGTCCCTCTGTTAAGGACTTCAAGGTCATATAGGAATTACTTATTCTCTTTTCCTTCACACCTGGGGACCCCGGATTCAGTCGGAAATATGGCTTTGGTTTTTTTGAGGTATTTACAGGACATAGTTGGAAATAAGGGAAAACTGACAAATTTTTTTTTTAGGTAGGCTCTATGCCCTATGTGGAGCTTGAACTCATGGCAAGATCAAGAGTCACATCCTGTACTGACTGAGCCAGCCAGACACCTCAACTCTGATAATTTTTTTTTTAAAGATTTTATTTATTTATTTGACAGAGACACAGCGAGAGAGGGAACACAAGCAGGGGGAGTGGGAGAGGGAGAAGCAGGCTTCCCGCGAAGCAGGGAGCCTGATGCGGGGCTCGATCCCAGGACCCTGGGATCATGACCTGAGCTGAAGGCAGACGCTTAATGACTGAGCCCACCCAGGCGCCCCTCTGATAAGTTTTTATATACTTTCCTGATTACCCTCTTTACAGGAAGAGTGGAAGTGGGAGAGA